TGGAATATTGCAAGTGTCTATACCGATATACTTAAGATATTTTGGATTCTTTCCATGTTGTAGAAAATGTTTTGAGACTGAATGATTCTCGTAACCTTTTAAAACATTTCTACAATGTTCAGCTAATCTCGTTTTTAAATCCCTTGTGGTCATACCCACATATTGAAGCCCACAGGGACACTCCAGAAGATAAATTACGTTTTTCGTATTACAATGAATACAAATGTTTTATTTTGTATGTTTTCTGTGTGATTGCTGATGTAAATGATGTAGTTTTAGATTTAATGGTATCACCAGTACATTTACAGACAATACATCTGTTACATTTAAAAAAAACGCTGGGTTTATTTAAAAAAGTAGAAGGACTAGGGGATAAAGTGCTTTGCTTATATTTAGTGTAATTACTTGTAAGAATAGACTTAAAGCTGGGTGCTCCTCTGAATATCACGTGTGGATTATCGGGAATAATTCCAGCCAAAGTATCATCTTGTTTTAATATATGCCAATGTTTTTTTATTATCTTCTTCATAACATTGCTTTTGTTATTGAAGTCAAAGATAATTGGCAATATTGGAGCTTTTTTGTGTCTTTTGTGGTCTTATACTCTAATAAATCAGATCTGTTTACTGTACTAATGTCTTTTAATGTTTTGTCTAGATTTCTGGGGTAGTTCTTTTGAGAAAATTTATTAGACAATAATTGGGACTGTTCCTCAAAATCTTGTGTAAGGGAACAGTTTCTGCATAGATGGAGAAACTGACTTTTTGGTATCCCTTGAAGCCAGGGCTTATGGTGGCAACTGGACACATCTATAACATTGTTGGTACACACTTTTTAAAAAAAGTTTTAGTTTGAATTCTTTCATTTTGGATAAAAATTTCTAAATCTAAAAAGTGAATAGAGGATTTACTATAATCTCAAGTTAAAATAATACCTTTGTCATTGTGATTTAAATATTGTAAAAACTGATTAAGAGAGTCTTCTGGGCCATCCCAGATAAAAAACAAATCGTATATATATCTAAAATAGGTTACCAGGTTTGTTTGCCAGCCATGCCCTCCTAGAATGGCAGTGGTTTCCCAATCTGCCATAAAGAGATTGGCATAACTGTACCCTGTTTTTGTAAATAAAAATAATCTAAAAACCAAAAGTAGTTTATTTTTTAAAATAATATTTATGCCCTGAATAATAAAGTCTATTTGTTGGTCTGAAATATTGTTTTTGTCTTTTAAAATCTTTTCAACCGCTAAACAGCCTTGAGGAATGATGGTATATAAAGATTGTACATCACAGGTAACTAAAACATATGTGTCTTTCCATGTAAAATTATTTACAAAGCGAAGTAAAGTCATGGAGTCTTTTAAGTATGACTTCATATGTTTCACTGAAGGCTGTAAAAGAATATCAAGGTATTCGGATAGATTGGATAAAATCGAGTTGATCCCTGATACAATAGGCCTACCTGTAGGATTGATAATGTCCTTATGAATTTTTGGTAAGAAGTAAATAACAGGAATAATAGGATGAGATACATTTAGGTATTCAAATTCCTGTTTGCTTAAAATATTCTGTTTGAGACCGCTAGTTAAAAATGAATTTAAAATCTGTTGTATTGTAGATGTAGGGTCTTGCATTAATTTTTCATAGACTATAGGATAATTTAATTGTCGCATAGCTTCTTTTATATACATCTCTTTGGTTAAAATAACTATACCTCACCCCTTGTCTGCAGGTTTTATGATGATGTCATCGTCTTTTTGTAATTGTTGCAGAGCTTTGCGCTCTGATTGTGTGAGATTATCTCGGTCATATTTGTTTTTATTAATTTTTTCTAGATCTTTTGTGACTAGTTTTTCAAAAACTTCTAAGGGGCCTGATTTGAAACTAGAAGGAAAGAATGTCGAGTTTTTCTTTAAAGAGGTAGATATCATTTAAGGTGATCCTGATGGTGAGGTAGCTTTAGGTTGTGAGGTAGAGATGTCTGTACTCTTACAGGCAAAGAACCGTTTGAGAGTGGCTTTTCTCACAAATTTATTGATGTCCAACAGTCCCAATTATTGTCTAATACATTTTCTCAAAAGAACTACCCCAGAAATAATCTAGACAAAACATTAAAAGACATTAGTACAGTAAACAGATCTGATTTATTAGAGTATAAGACCACAAAAGACACAAAAAACGCTCCAATATTGCCAATTATCTTTGACTTCAATAACAAAAGCAATGTTATGAAGAAGATAATAAAAAAACATTGGCATATATTAAAACAAGATGATACTTTGGCTGGAATTATTCCCGATAATCCACACGTGATATTCAGAGGAGCACCCAGCTTTAAGTCTATTCTTACAAGTAATTACACTAAATATAAGCAAAGCACTTTATCCCCTAGTCCTTCTACTTTTTTAAATAAACCCAGCGTTTTTTTTAAATGTAACAGATGTATTGTCTGTAAATGTACTGGTGATACCATTAAATCTAAAACTACATCATTTACATCAGCAATCACACAGAAAACATACAAAATAAAACATTTGTATTCATTGTAATACGAAAAACGTAATTTATCTTCTGGAGTGTCCCTGTGGGCTTCAATATGTGGGTATGACCACGAGGGATTTAACAACGAGATTAGTTGAACATTGTAGAAATATTTTAAAAGGTTACGAGAATCAGTTTCAAAACATTTTCTACAACATGGAAGGAATCCAAAATATCTTAAGTGTATCGGTATAGACACTTGCAATATTCCATGGAGAGGAGGAGATATTAAAAAAGTTTGAGGTAAAAAAGAAATGGAATGGGCATACAACCTAAAAACCCTTGCCCCTACAGGGTTAAACATTGACTTTGATCTTTTACATTTTTTATAACATATAATCATTTTTTACATTCCATACTCTTATCTTTATTTTAATCCTTAAAATTTCCCTTACTATTTCATCCTTTGCTTATACACACCAAATATGCATATATATCTCTTATGTGCATCCTGATTATTATCCTTTTTACCACAAACTCCTATCATAAAAATAGATTATTTTACATAATTTTACTCTGTATATAGTATATTCTTATTTTTTTGTGTATAAAATTATTTTATTTAATCCTATGCAAATATTCAAACCCAAAATATTAAGTTAACATAGGTGCCCATTTCGGGCTTTGAACTTGCTGTGACGGAACGCTGGCACTCCGACTGAGTACCTCCACCAATCGATGCTCCTAGTGCTCGCTGAGGACTCCAAGCACTCCAACCGACACCATCAGCACTGCAGACCCCACTTCCAGCGATGCAACTGCACCGGGGTCTCTGCTGTTTACACCCACCCTGGACCCAAGGCCAGGATCCAGCTTCCAGTGGGTGAACCTCTCTTTCCCCAGAGAGCAGGAACAGGAACAAATCAAGCTATTGCAAGAGCTTCCTCTGGGGAGTAAGTGATTATAGCAATCCCCAGAGTGTAGGTATCCCTTCCCCCAAACATGAGCCAAGGCTTAATGCTGGAACAAGACTGATTTACTGGCACACAGAACTCACAATTTATGCAACACAAAACTCCTCCTCTGGGCCAGGCTAGATAATTGAGTTTCTACAATACACAAAGCTCAATTATCTGCTGGCCAGAAATTATACAGTTTCATAAAACACACAGGGACCCCAAAACATGCAATAACCCCATAAAAAGTATATCCTTGGAACCGGGGGATCTGGGTGAACCACATATCCAAAATTCACCCAGATCCATTCAGTACTTTGGAAAATACAGTTTAATGCAGATTCTGCAAAACATATACAGGCTAAATGAAAAACAATCACTGTATAATGTGCCCCCTGCTGTATAGTCCAAAACCACCGCACGATGTCTCTGTGCAACAAATACTGGCGAGATGGCACCGTGTTGAAAAGTCCACACAGTGTCTGTGAGTTAAAATGGCCGCCATCCATTGTTCTCACCATGTGCTTCTGATACAGGAAATGGTGGCCACCCAGTAACTCCACAGTATGTCCCCAGATGGTTCTTAAAAGGGCCAGCAGCAGCACAACACAAATCCATTATGCCCAAATCATGTCTTTAAAGGGCAATACATCCCAGGGGCCATAGTCACAGGGCAAGAGGCGGGCAAGCAGTCCTCTCCAGGCACAAGTGGCAAAGGGCACTTCGTCACACATCTTCCCTTTGGGGGGAAGACTAAACAGGTACCTGACCTTCTGCCGGTCAGTACCTAGATTAGTCGGGCAGCCCACCCACAAAGAAAAATACGCAGAGTAACCCCCCCACAATAAATGGTACTGGCCTGTAGGTTCAAGTTTGTAGTGGGACAGCGCAGCACTCTCAGTCTCCCTGGTGCAGCTAGGCAAACTGCTGGTGTTGCTTGGGGGGCAGAGGCCAGCGGCGCTCTGCCCTGCTGCCAGCTCTTCCACTGTGGTAACCCGTGGTAAGTCAGGCTCTGATACAGGAGAAATGGGGGGGCAGAGGCTAACAGAGCTCTGCCCAGATGCCAGCTCTTCTGCTGGGAGGGGGTCAGTGGGTATCACAGGCTCATCCACTGCCCCCAGGACCCGGTTGGGATGTAGCTGGGGAGGGGAAGTTTCACTTACCTCCTCCTCCTGGCATCCCTGCGGAGTTGGTTGGGGATCTGGACCGCCCGTCCAGCCTCCCTGTAGGACTGGCACAGAGACCGCGGTCCCATCTGTGCCAGTGTGGTTAGGTTTGTCTTCCCCCTCTCCCGGTATCTCTGGCTGCTGTTGGAGGGGGAGGCTGGTTGCCCCCACTCCCCAGGACGCTGGTTGCTGTAAGGTGGAGGGATCGACCATCACCTCCTCCTGGAACTCAGGCCGCCGCTGGGGAGAGAGACCAGTTGTCTCCCCTCCCTGTATATTATACTGCCGCTGGGGACCTGGGCTGAATGCCCAGCATCCCTGTAGGGCTGGCAGAGAGACTTCGGTCCCATCTCCATAGTTGTGGGGCTTAACATCTCCCCTTGGTGAGTTAGGCTGCCGCTGGAGAGAGGGTGTAACAAGCTCCTCTCTCTGAACTGTAGACTGCCGCTGGGGAGAGGGGGTAACCTGCTCCTCTCCCTGACACTCTCTTTGCTGGTGGAGAGGGGGACCAACTGTCTCCCCTTTCAATATTTTGTCCTGCGGCTGGGGTGCGAGACAGACGGTCTCTGCTTCCTGGGGTACACACTGCCGCTGGGGAGGAAGGACGGCACCTTCAGCTCCCTGGGGTACACACTGCCACTGGGGAGGAAGGACGACACCTTTGGCTCCCTGGGATACACACTGCCACTGGGGAGGAAGGATGGCACCTTCTGCTCCCTGGGGTACACACTGCCGCTGGGGAGGAAGGACGACACCTTCAGCTCCCTGGGATACACACTGCCGCTGGGGAGGGAGGACGGCACCTTCTGCTCCCTGGGACACACACTGCCGCTGGGGAGGAAGGATGGCACCTTCTGCTCCCTGGGGTACACACTGCCGCTGGGGAGGAAGGACGACACCTTCAGCTCCCTGGGATACACACTGCCGCTGGGGAGGAAGGACGGCACCTTCTGCTCCCTGGGGTACACACTGCCGCTGGGGAGGAAGGACGGCACCTTCAGCTCCCTGGGGAACACACTGCCGCTGGGGAGAGAGACCGGTTGTCTCTTCCCTCTGTACGGTGCACTGCCGCTGGGAAGGGAGGTCGCTGCTCTCCTCTCCCTGTAACTCACTCTGTCGCTGGAGACGGGGTGTCAATACCCCCAAACTCCACAGTTGGTACTCGAAGTTCCGTGCGTCTTGGTTCTCCGCACTCAACTGGCGTATCACTTGATGGACCACCTCATCTGAAGGGTTTGGGCCAAACCAGACCAGCCGCACCTTTAATTCCTTCATGAAATCAGCACCCTCATAGCACTGTGACAGGCGGATTTGCAATTCACTGGCTGCTGTCCAGGGTCTTGCTAGCTCCATGTTGCTGTAGGAAGGGACACTGCGCAGAGGCTAGCGTTGCCCTCAATTATAAATCCATAACTCCACACGTTACCGGTGTCTCCGAGCTGCTGGTCCTCGCACTAGGACGCCATCCCACCGCTGCCACCAAATGTGACGGAACGCTGGCACTCCGACTGAGTACCTCCGCCAATCGATGCTCCTAGTGCTTGCTGAGGACTCCAAGCACTCCAACCGACACCATCAGCACTGCAGACCCCACTTCCAGCGATGCAACTGCGCCGGGGTCTCTGCTGTTTCCACCCACCCTGGACCCAAGGCCAGGATCCAGCTTCCAGTGGGTGAACCTCTCTTTCCCCAGAGAGCAGGAACAGGAACAAATCAAGCTATTGCAAGAGCTTCCTCTGGGGAGTAAGTGATTATAGCAATCCCCAGAGTGTAGGTATCCCTTCCCCCAAACATGAGCCAAGGCTTAATGCTGGAACAAGACTGATTTACTGGCACACAGAACTCACAATTTATGCAACACAAAACTCCTCCTCTGGGCCAGGCTAGATAATTGAGTTTCTACAATACACAAAGCTCAATTATCTGCTGGCCAGAAATTATACAGTTTCATAAAACACACAGGGACCCCAAAACATGCAATAACCCCATAAAAAGTATATCCTTGGAACCGGGGGATCTGGGTGAACCCCATATCCAAAATTCACCCAGATCCGTTCAGTACTTTGGAAAATACAGTTTAATGCAGATTCTGCAAAACATATACAGGCTAAATGAAAAACAATCACTGTATAATGTGCCCCCTGCTGTATAGTCCAAAACCACCGCACGATGTCTCTGTGCAACAAATACTGGCGAGATGGCACCGTGTTGAAAAGTCCACACAGTGTCTGTGAGTTAAAATGGCCGCCATCCATTGTTCTCACCATGTGCTTCTGATACAGGAAATGGTGGCCACCCAGTAACTCCACAGTATGTCCCCAGATGGTTCTTAAAGGGCCAGCAGCAGCACAACACAAATCCATTATGCCCAAATCATGTCTTTAAAGGGCAATACATCCCAGGGGCCATAGTCACAGGGCAAGAGGCGGGCAAGCAGTCCTCTCCAGGCACAAGTGGAAATGGGCACTTCGTCACACTTGCATATTGCTAGAACGGCTGTCTGCTTGATTATGTAGGCAGACAGCGTGTTACCTAAGCCATCCCTACTGCTGTCTGCCTGTTCGTGCAGACAGCTAATCTGATCCTTAATCAATCAGATCAAACAGCCCTCCCACCTCCTGATGACGCATGCGTTCCACTCAGACGGAACACATGCGTTTCACGGCGCGATCACGTGACGCGGAAGTGCTTTTAGCCGCGCGTCACGTGATCTTTTTATAACATGTATTTTAAGCTTTTTAAACCCTCGTTTTACAATTTAAATTAATGTACCTACCTCATATGATCTATATGTATAATTTGTTTTATTCGGTATTTTTTTTTGCATTTTTATATTATTCTATTGATGACGTCATTTTGGCGGGAATTTCAAAATTCCAAACATTATTATATCTTATATAAATCATTGTATGTCAGGTGTGTCCCTCTTTTTTACTATTATCTACTTGAAGAAGCCTTTGAGGCGAAACGCATTTAGATATTATTTTTATTACTTTACAATAAAGAAATTATTTTGGCATAAAATACTTTATAACCATTTTCTTTCTTCTTTTTTCACCTGACTATACATATACTGCTTATCTGACGAGAAGCCTAAAGAATCCTTAGGTGGGGATTATACCACCCAAGCGCCTACATCGAGCAGTATAAGTCTGCTCTATATACTGTGAGTAGTATATTTATACTTTTTTACACCTTTTAACTACTATACAGACAGCACTATATATTTTATTTCTCTTTCCTGGGTCGAATAATACCAACTTGGACGTCGAATCTGAGCCAGATACGCGTCAATCAAATATTACTCCGCATATCCTTGAGTGGGGATTATTCCACTTCACGTGCGCTATATCAGATTTAGGTTTTAGCTCTGAAAAGTCCTTGGGCTTCATAAGACTATTTTTATTTTACATACTATTTTATTCATTTATATACTGTGCCATTGGAGTTACTTTTTGTCTTTTATCCACATATGTTCTACTGGATTTCAAGCACACTTCTGTGAAGACACACTCCATTTTACGTTTCAGAATCCCTGTTCTTACACGTGGCATCTACCATTACGGACTTATGATAAGTTTTTTGGACTATTGCCAACTATTTATTTTACAATTCAATTAATATTTTATATTAAATTTTACTATTTTATACTACTTATTATATACAATTTTTATATGTTTTATTTTATATTTTAGGCGCAACCTTATTTTGTTCTATTTTGTATCTCTTCTTACCATTAGGGGATTATAGGGGACTCCCCTTTGAGGATTGCAGCCTTACTATTATTATTTTCTTGTGTGGCAACCTAGTGCTGATTTCTCTCTTTCCATTACACACCCCCACCCCAAATCCTGTCTGAGGATTATTCAAAAAATAACAGATCTTATGTAAAAAAGAAACGTGGAGTATCCCTATCAACTCTTTATTTATCATTAACTAAACTAGAGAAAATAAAAGAAAGAAAATCCAAATTTAAATACTTTGAAAAACACAATACAAATTCAAAATTTAATTAAAAATCAAATTTCAAGAAAATATAGATAGAAATTTAATGTTCAAACAAAAATGGTATTTAACTCCTTTTGGACCTGACTGCTTTGGCCATGTTGTACATTAAGGACAAGAGCTGTTTTAACACTTTTGTGGCGTTTGTGTTTAGCTGTAATTTTCCTCTCATTTACTGCCCCCATACAAATTATATATGGGGTCATAGAATTTTTTGTATCAGGTCATAGAATTTAATAAAACAAAAAAACAAAAAAAAACCCACACGTTTGACTTTTACTTGAAAAATCTTTCACTCATCTACAAAAGGCAATGAAAAAAAACCTGCTGAATAGATTAGAAATTTTGTCCTGAGTTTAAAGACATCCAGTTTTTACATGCTTGTTTTGCAAGTTATAGAGCTATAAGTACAAGCAGAATATTGCGGTTTCAAAACAAATTTTTAAAATTTATCAATAGTGACATTGTAACACTATTATCTGTCATAAATCTCTGAACACCCCACATGTACATTTTTTTTATTTTAAATAGACAACCCAGGGAGGGCGTGGCCAAGCAGTTGAACTGAATGTCTGTACTGTCTCAGAGCTCTGAGACACTGCAAACTATTAACCCATATTACAAACCGTGCTGCCCGATCGGGGCGATCACCAGGGCAGGAGTGAGACCCGAGACACAACATGGGTCGGAAAAACCTAAAAGATGAAGCCCAACAAACCTTGCATGGGCCTCAATATAGGAGACTTACTGTGACAAGCACACACACTGCAGGCAGGCCCCAAATGGCCGACTATCCTGAGGCCTACTCAGACCTGTCCGACAAGCTGTCTCTGGAGGAAGAGGAGGATGACTTGCTGGCCAGACAAATCTCAGCCTCAAAAACTAGCAGCCCTGACAAAGCTCCTGTCATGACGGCGGTGCTTAAAGACCTGCTGGCAGATTTACAGAAATATGCTGGCCGACGTGGCTAATCTGCGTGCGGATCTCCAGGGCCTAATGGACCAGATCGTTGCAGTGGAAACCACAACCGGAGAGCAGGTGCAACAAATGCCTCTATGCAGCAAACAATCCTGGTGCTCCAAAGTCAGAATGAACTGTACGACCACCGATTCACTACACTGGAAGACACGCGGTGGGAGAATATAAAAATCAGGGGCATCCCAGAGGCCATATCCATGGAGGAACTATCGCATATGCTGAGGCGGCTCATGGTTGCGTTATCCCCACGGCAAGCCAAGTCAATGACTCTGGAAGACTGCTTCCGCATCCCTAAATTGCCAAATGCCCCAGCGAGACCTGATAATTTGCCTCGACAACGGCAGGGAAAAGGCAGCGGTTCTCACAGCCCGGGATCCCTACAACTTACCTTCTTTCCAGATCTCTCAGGAGGAACCCTGGCTTGGCGAAGATCTCTCATACCATTCACCACCCTCTTCCGGAATAGCATCCAGAACCGCTGATCCATACTGCTGATACTCCATGGAGATGCCCGACGTGAGGTCCACGATATGGTGGAAGCAACGGCCCTACTGGGACTCCCGATGGACGCATTGCCACCAGACAGGTACTGAGTGGCCGAACCAGCAGCTCATCAATGGGACCCAGTGACAGTGAAAACATTTGTCCCATGGGGGCACCCGCAGGTTACAGCGGCAGCGGTCACCACCTGAAAGCCAGGCAGAGACCTCCCATACCTGCCTACCATTGCTTTTAAAAATAGTTTGCAAGCGGGGCCAAACCGCTATGCTGGCTGGTCACACACACTCAATGAGCTCCTGCCAGAATCTTGCAAAAAAGCTATAAAAATCGCCCCAACCTGTACCTCCGAGTGGTCAGCAGATACCCGATCAGCAACAGACACCGATGATGGAGCCTTACACTGAAGGTTGATAAGCTGTGGGGAGAGTTGGTGCACCCGGACCCTGCGGCCTACCTGGGCC